AGTAAATTTTTTATCGCAATTAATATAATGACATTTTTTGAATTTTTTTCTAAAATGAACGACAGATTTGTGTTGATTTAGATATGTTTTCAATTGAAAACTTTTTCGRCAATCGTTGTAATCGCAAACATATTTAATCATTAAATGTTCTGAATTTTTATGCGAATAATATAGTGATTGACTTTTGAATAATTTATTACAATTTTCATAATCACATCTAAATTGTTTAGTATCCGATAAATGTTTGGATTGATGTATAGATAAATTGTTTTCATTATTAGTTTTAAATCGACATTTAGGCCAAAAACACTTGWATCGCATGTTATTGTTGTTATCCATACGTGTGTTGTTGTTGATGTCATAACAGTCACTATAATCAGTAATTTTCATTGAAATGCAATCAATTGTTTCAATATTCAAATCAATTAAGCTTTTAGTTGTCGTCTCTTCACATAAAACATCAGTATTTTGTGATAAACTTTTGGTTTGTTTATCAATAATACTATTGTATAATGATTTTAATTCAGTTAATTTAGTTAACATATACTTAATATTGAAAACGTTATCATTTATTGAATCCATAGTTAAAAAAAATCACTTCAATACAGCAATAATGATAACAACAACAACAGATAACTAATACATTAGTTTAAACACAAAATAATACATTAGTTTTTATTTTGTGTCACTTATATTGTGTTTTCAAATAGCAAATGGATAGTAGTTTTAAGTTATAATAATAATAACATGAATATCCAATATCTATAGCAACAGGTATTCAAACAATACATATATATATTTATGCAGATTATGGTCATAAGTATAGCTCAAACAATAGATTTTCAATAAAGTGATTGAGTGGGTGAGTGAATGAGTGAGAGATCAAAAAGTTTCAGTTTGTTTGTGTATAATAGGATATAATGTATAATACAAACCAAAATAGCAGTCGTTAGTCAATTGCAGGTAAAAACTGTGTGAACTTTTCACATGAATTCCCCGTTTAAGTGTTTCCTCTCTCTCTCTCTCTCTCTCTCTCTCTCTCTCTCTCTGCCTATTGTTTGCTAATACCTATCATTGAATTGTCAATAATAATCCCACAAATAGACGCATGTATTCAACAATGTATTAATTAATAGGTAGTTGTTATAGTCATCAACGATCCCTGAATATTGTCTCAATATTTCAAAAGCGATATTATATATATAGAGTAATATTAACTGAAAAATACTATTAATTTTTTTTAGACCGGATTTTTAATATTTTTAGTTAAATTATATACTGTTTTGTATATATATTTAATATCCATATTGCTATTGGAAACTATTATAACTACCAAAACTAATGTATTGTTTAGTTTGATTTGTTGTATTTCATAGTAAATCTATTGTTATATTTTTTTAATAATACAGTAAATGCTATTTGTTTTGATATTTTGTATTTTTTTTGTTAAATATATGATTGTATCGATTGTATAGTATGACTGTTATGAAAATTATTAACAACAAAACAAAAAAACTAATAGAAAATTGTGTTAAATATATGTAAAAAACTTTTTTTTTAACTATTAACTATTGTTGTCATAACAGTCACTATAATCAGTGATTTTCATAGAAATGCAATCATTTGTTATTTGGATATTCATTGCAATCAAGCCATCAATTGTTTCACACAATTCATAGCAATTATTATTAATTTGTTGTAATTTTAATGACAAACTTTTCAGTTTATGAAAATTATTTAACAAATCAATAGATTTCTTTAATAACGACAACATTTTTGGTTAAATTTACTTTTCAAAAAATATTAACTTTTAAATATATATATTTATATATATTATTATTATATATTATAACAGGATTTTTAATATTTTTAGTTAAATTATATACTATTTTGTATATATTTAATATCCATAGCTATTGGAAACAATTATAACCACCAAAACTAATGTATTGTTTAGTTTGATTTGTTGTATTTCATAGTAAATCTATTGTTATTATTATTATTATAATACAGTAAATGCTATTTGTTTTGATATTTTGTATTTTTTTTTGTTAAATATATGATTGTATCGATTCTATAGTATGACTGTTATGACAATTATTAACGACAAACAAAAAAACTAATAGAAAATTGTGTTAAATATATGTAAAAAACTATTTTTTTTTAAATTGTCGTCAATGACAACTCAAGTTAATAAATAATAAAATATTATTGTTATGTTAACACCTATGTTGTTGTTGTTGTTGTTATAACAGTCACTATAATGAATGATTTTTTTCATATGAAATGCAATCAATTTTTTTATTGTATTATAATATTCATTGAATTTTGTTTGTATATAAATCAATACAATTTTATTGCTGTAATTGTTTTTCTAACATATATTTTATTAAAAATTAATTTTTTATTAACTTTACTACCATTTATTAAAAAACCATAGTTTTTATTATTATTAAAATTATTTTTTTTTGAAATACTAACTGAAAATCACTGCATAAAATATGTTTATATTTTTTTTAAATATCAATTAATTTTTATTAAACAAATATCCATTACTTTATATATGTTTGGTTACAACAACAACAAAAATTAAGCAATTTTTTTATTAAAATAATATTTAATTATTGTCTCATTTACTTTAAAAAAATAAATTTTAAAAATATTGCACTATATTAAGGACCAGTACTACTACTACTACTACTACTACAGTAATTATATAWACAGTTTGTATATATGGCTAACTGTCTATCAATTGAAGCAAAAAAAAAGACTAACAAAAAAATTAAAGACATTTTCTTTAAATTTTTTTTTATTTTCTAATACATATAATAATAAGTTTTCTAAAATAACTTTAAAATGTATTACAATTTAAAACAAATGTTTTCGTTGATGTAATGAAAGTCCAGATTTATTTAGCAAATTGTTTAGCAAACAGTTATCTAAACATTACATTTTAAATGGCTTTATATTCCGATAATGAGTTTGTTTATGTTGTCGTAAATATTTTAAATATTGAAAATATTTGCCACAACTATTGTAATCACACTTAAACTGTGATTCAATTGAATGATCTCTTGATAGGTGTTGTCGTAAACAATGATTTGTTGTAAATGTTTTCAAACATTTGTTGTTTACTGAACAATGAAATTGTTTTGTTGTTGTTGTCTTTAAATGAATTAATTTATGTTTATTATAATTGGTTTTATTTGCAAATGTTTTATCACAATTATCGACATCACATTTAAATGATTTTTGTTTTAAATGAAATTGAATTTCATGTGCTTTCATACCATGCTTTGTTATAAATATTTTATTACAATTTTCATAAAAGCATTTAAACTTTTTATTAAAATGAACACTAGATTTATGTTGATTTAAGTATGAATTTTTAGTAAAACATTTGCGACAATCGTTGAAATCGCAAACATATTTAACATTTAAATGTTTAGATTTTTTATGATAATCTAAATATGATTTAGATTTGAATGTTTTATTACAATTATTACATTTAATGTCAATATTATTTAAATGAATTGATTGATGTACTATTAAATGTTGTTTTGTTTTACTATTGAACCGACATTTTGGCCAAAAACACGTGAATCGCGTGTTATTGTTGTTATCCATACGTGTGTTGTTATTGTTGATGTCATAACAGTCACTATAATCAGTGATTTTCATTGAAATGCAATCATTTGTTGTTTGGATATTCATTACATTCAAGTCATCAATCGGTTCACACAATTCATTGAATTTGTTATTAATTTGTTGTAAATTCAATGATAAACTTTTCAGTTTATGAAAATTACTTAACAAATCAATAGATTTGTTTAATAACGACAACTTCATTATTGTTTAGAAAATTACACTAAAAAAAATTTTCACTAAAATTTTAATTAATTTTATTTATTTTTTGATCGCACATTAAAATCACACCAAACAATGACTAATATAGGAAATGGATATAATATCACTGTATATACAGATATATATATAGATTTATTTGTATTCAATCCTTAAACCTGTTTAAATTACTTTTACTTTAACATATACCTGTATATAATATACTGTATATACACTGTATAATATACAGTGTATATCTATTGATATTATTTTATTAATATAAAATTGTTATATTTTTATTATAATAAAAACATTTATTTATCTTAATAATATTTAATGATTTTTTTTGTATTTAGTAATAAATCTATTGTACAGTTAATGCTAATTGTTTTGATATATTTTGTTTTATTTTGTTTGTTAAATATATGATTGTATCGATTGTATATTAACTGTTATGACAATTATTAACAACAAACAAAACTAATATACAATTGTTTTAAATATATATATATAATTTTTAAATTGTCGTCAATGACAACTCAAGTTAATAAATAATAAAATATTATCATTATTCACACCTATGTTGTTGTTGTTGTTGTTGTTATAACAGTCACTATAATCAATAATTTGTTTCATATGAAATGAAATCAATTTTTTATTGTATTATAATATTCATTGAATTTTGTTTGTATATAAATCAATACAATTTTAATATTGTAATTGTTTTACAAACATATATTTTATTAAAAWTTTTTTTTATTAACTTTACTACCATTTATTAAAAAACCATAGTTTTCATTATTATTATTATTATTAAAATTAGCAATAATAACAAATTATTTTTTTTTTTGAAATACTAACTGAAAAACAATGTATACAACATAAACAAATATTTTTATTTAATATTGAAAATTTATTTTAATAAGCAAAATAATTGTTTTAAAGTATTTAATACATTTTGAAATCTAATGAATAAAAGTAAAAAATAGAAAAAAATTGTTTTAAAATATAATAAATTCATTAAATAAATATTTTTAATTTTATAAAATATCATTATATTTACAAAATTGAATTAAGTTTAGTAATTATTTTTAAAATAAGCATAACTGAGAATATCCAACTTATTTATGACTATAATATTTATGATAATTTAGTGAAGATTTTTGTAAAAAACATTTATTACAATCATTGACATCACATTTAAATGGTTTAATTCCTGAATGTTTTCGTTGATGTCGTAAAAGTCCAGATTTACAAGTAAATTGTTTGCCACAGTTATCGACATCACATTTGAATGACTTTATATTCCGATAATGAATTCGTTTATGTTGTCTTAAATTTTTTAAATTTGTAAAATATTTTCTACAGTTATTGTAATCACACATAAATTGTGGTTCAATTGAATGATCTCTGGATTTGTGTTGTCGTAAACAATGATTTGTTGTAAATATTTTCAAACAATCATTAACTGTACAAATAAATCGCTTTTTCTTTAAATGAATTAATTTATGTATTTTATAATTGCTTTTAGTTGTAAATGTTTTATTACAATATTCGACATCACATTTAAATAGATTTTGATTTAAATGAACTCGACATTCATGTGTTTTCTTATGAAAATTTGTTGCAAATATTTTGTCACAATTTTCATAAAAACATTTAAACTTTTTATTAAAATGAACTCTAGTTTTATGTTGATTTAAAAATGTATTTCTAGTAAAAATTTTTCGACAATCGTTGTAATCGCAAACATATTTCATATTTAAATGTTTACTATTTTTATGATAATATAAAGTTGTATAACTTTTGAACATTTTATAACAATCATTACATTTGAATTGTTTATCTGATAAATGAGTTAATTGATGACTAATTAATCGTTGTTTAATAATTGTATTAAACCGACATTTGGGCCAAAAGCACGTAAATCGCGTGTTATTGTTATCCACACGTGTGTTGTTGTTGTCATAACAGTCACTATAATCAGTGATTTTCATTGAAATGCAATCATTTGTTGTTAGGATATTCACTTCATTCAAGCCATCAATTGATTCAAACAATTCATAGCAATTGTTATTAATTTGTTGTAATTTTAATGACAAACATTTCAAATCAGAAAATTTATTTAATTTATTAATAGTTTTGTTTAATAACAACTCCATTATTGTTTAAAAAATTTAACTAAAATATATCAAATAAATACTATTGTGTTGTTTTTGATCGCACATTGAAATCACATAAAACAATGACTAAAATAGGAAATGGAAATCATATCACTGTATATACAGATATATATATATATATATATTTGTATTTAATCTTTAAACCTGTTTAACAATTTGTATTAGATTTTACTTTAGATTAACATAAATACTGTATTTCTATTGTTGTAATTTTATTTTGATTAAATATTATTAAAAACTTATTTTATCATTATATTAATACAATTAATGAATATTTTATTTATGCTTAAAAGATACATTAATTGATTAAATTTAATAAAAACTAATCAAATGAACTACCAATATTTACTTAAATATATTTTTAATTGATTTTTTAATAATTTCTATTCATTTAGTGTTTTTATTATTAATTTAGTTTTGTAGAAAATACTATATAAATGTTTTTTTTTAATTTTACCACATTTTACAATATTAACTGTTTGGCTGCCAATTAGCCCAATAAAGGCATCTATTATCCTAACTATACATAAAATAAAAAAAATTTTTATTTGACTTAAAATTTATTATTTTTTTTAATAAACCAATTGATTAATTAAGTATCTAATAYATGTTTTAATATGATTTGTTTTTTAGTTTAAATAWTTTTTTCTTATGATTTATATTCACAYTAAATAGCAAATGTTTTATCGCAATACTCGACATAATATTTATTATTTATATACTTTTGGTTATTAATTGKGAAAAWATATTTTTATTTAATATTTATAATTTAATTTTTAGAAATAAGATTTTAGAAAWTTTTTGTTATTTTGTCTTTATAAATAATAYTTATTAAAAGAGTAATTAATAWAATTATACAAAAATATTTACAAAATTAAAAAATTTAATKAGTTATAATTGATTTAATRATATTTTTTAAWTATAATAATTWTTAGTATAAATGKGGAAAATATTCAGTAAATAATTWTTTTATATTTAATAAATTATCTATTTATATAATATTAAGTTTTTAAGTTTATAAGTATTTTTACTAACATATCAATTTAGATCTAAATATTCAAAGATTATTAATAGTAAAAATAWTTTTATTTGTAATTTAAAATTTATTTTAATAAACAGAATAATTGATTTTTAAGTATTTAATACATTTTGAAATCTAATTTGAAATAAAAGTATAAATAAAAAATACTTGTTTTAAAATATAATATAGTAAGTTCATAAAAAAWTATTTTATAAATTATAATTATATTTATTAAATTTTTTTTTWAAAAAAACATACAAAAAATAAATCTAAAATTATTTATGACAATAATATTTATGATAATTTAGTGAAGATTTTTGTGTAAAACATTGATTACATTCATTGACATCACATTTGAATGATTTGATTCCTGAATGAGCTGTTCGTTGATGTGTTAAAAGTGGAAATTTTGTTGCAAATTGTTTGACACAGTTATCGACATTACATTTGAWTGGTTTTATACTYWGATGATTATATCGTTTATGATGTTTTAATTGTTTTAAATTTGYAAAATATTTGCCACAACTATTGTATTCGCAAATAAATTGTGGTTCAATTGAATGATCTATTGATTTGTGTCGACATAAACAATGATTTGTTGTAAATGTTTTTAAACAATCGTTTACTGAACACTTAAATTGCTTTAATATTACTTACACTTAAATATTTATAATTAAATTTAAAAAAACAAATAATTGATTTTTGAAATACATTTTGAAATCTACTAAATAAAAGTATAAATACTTGTTTTAAAATATAATAAATTCATGAAATAAATATTTTCATTTTATAAATTATTATAATAATTAATATAAGTAAGTTTAGTTATTTTTAAAAAACATACCAAAAAAATAAATCAAAATTATTTATGACAATATAAAGTATAAATAAATATAACATTTGTTTTAAAATATAATAAATTGATGTATTAATTATTTGATTTTATAAATTATCATWATATTTATTAAAAATTTTTTTTTTAATTAAGTTCAGTAATTATTAAAAARCACAACAAAAATAAATCAAAATTATTTATGACAATAATATTTATGATAMTTTAGTGAAGATATRTGTGAAAAACATTTATTACATTCATTGACATTACATTTAAATGGTTTAATTCCTGTATGTTTTCGTTGATGTATTAAAAGTTCAGATTTAATAGCAAATTGTTTGCAACAGTTATCGACATCACATTTGAATGGTTTTATACTCAGATGAAGTTTTCGTTTATGATGTTTTAATTGTTTTAAATTTGTAATATATTTTCTACAGTTATTGTAATCACACATAAATTGTGGTTCAATTGAATGATCTATCGATTTGTGTTGTCGTAAACAATAATTTGTTGTAAAACTTTTAAAACAATCGTTTACTGAACACTTAAATTGTTTTTTTGTCAAATGAATTAATTTATGTTTATTATAATCACCTTTTGTTGAAAATGTTTTATTACAATAATCGACATCACATTTAAATGTTTTTTGTTTTAAATGAACTGCAATTTGATGTGTTTTCATATTAAACATTGTTGTAAATATTTTATTACAATTTAAATGAAAACATTTAAACTTTTTATTGTTAAAATGAACACTAGATTTATGTTGATTTAAATCTGCATTTCTAGTAAAACATTTGCCACAATCGTTGACATCGCAAACATATTTAATATTTAAATAGTTAAATTACAATTATTGCATTTAAATTGTTTTTCAGATCAATGAACTGATTGATGTTTGAATAAATTTATTTCAATATATGTTTTATACCGACATTTAGGCCAAAAACATGAGAATCGCGTGTTATTGTTGTTATCCACACGTTTGTTGTTGTTGTTGTCATAACAGTCACTATAATCAGTAATTTTCATAGAAATGCAATCATTTGTTGTTTTGATATTCACTCCATTCAAGGCATTCATTGCTTCAATTAATTCATTCAATTTGTTATTAATTTGTTGTAATTTTAATGAAAAACATTTCAATTTATTCAAATTATTTAATTTACTATTAGTTTTGTTCAATAATAACTCCATTATTATTGTTTTAGAAAATTTCGACTAAAATATATCAAATAAATTGATCGCACATTGAAATCACACCAAACAATGACTAAAATAGGAAATGGATATCATTTCACTGTATATACAGATATATATAGATTTGTTTGTATTAAATCCTTAAACCTGTTTAATAATTATTATTACATTTTACTTTAGTTATACTAATACTAATGTATAGGTATTTCGATCCCATAATGAAAATCACACCAAAAAAATGTTTATCACAGGAAAATTAAATATCATTTTATATATGAGTTTTTGTTTAATCTTTAAACCAATTTATTCTCTATTTATTAGTACTTTTACGGTAAAAGTTTTACTTTAATAATTATTTTGTTTTTATAAATTATCATTATTTTTATAATAAATATTAAATTTTAATTCAAGTATATTTTCGTTGATCTCGTAAAAGTCAAGATTTAGTAGCAAATTGTTTGTCACAACTATCGACATAACATTTGAATTGCTTTATACTTTGATGAATATTTCGTTTATGTTGTCTTAAATGTTTTAAATTTGTAAAATATTTTCTTCAGTTATTGTAATCACATTTAAATTGTGGTTCAATTGAATGATCACTGGATTTGTATTTTACTAAACAATGATTTGTTGTAAATGTTTTCAAACAATCGTTTACTGAACACTTAAATTGTTTTTTATTTATATGAATTAAATTATGTCTTTTATTAGCAAACTTTGTTGTAAATGTTTTATTACAATTTTCATGAAAGCATTTAAATTTTTTAGTAAAATGAACATTAGATTTATGTCGATTTAAATTTGAATTTTTAGTAAAACATTTGCCACAATCGTTGTAATCGCAAACATATTTAATATTTAAATGTTTAGATCTTTTATGATAATCTAAATATTATTTAAATTTGAATATTTTATTGCGATTATTACACTCAAACTGTTTTATATAAATGTATTAATTGATGTATAAATAAATTATTTTTCTTTATATTAATATACCGAGATTTAGGCCCTTGACTTGAATTGCTTGTTGTTATCCATAGATGTGTTGTTGTTGTTGTCATAACAGTCACTATAATCAGTGATTTTCATTGAAATGAAATCATTTGTTGTTATGATATTCACTTCATTCAAGCCATCAATTGTTTCACACAATTCATAGTATTTGTTATTAGTAGTTATCACTGTTGTTATCATTGTGTGTTGTTTTTTAATAATTTTTAATATTTATTTATTAATATGGAGTTAATTAATCATAAAATTTTAAATATTAAGTATATGTTAAATAGATTATGTAAATTGAAATCATTACACAATAGTATTAGTGATATAAAAACAAATAGTTTGTCACAAAATATTAGTAGTGTTTTTGATGAAACCATTGATTTAATTAATAAAGTGAATATCACAACAAATGATTGCATTTCTATGAAAATCACTGATTATAGTGACTGTTATGACAACAACAACAACACACGTATGGATAACAACAATAACAAGCGATTCAAGTGTTTTTAGACTAAATGTCGATATATAATATATAAACTAATAACTAATAATGAAAATCATTTGATTGAACATCAATTAATTCATTCATCTGTAAAACATTTCAAATTTAATTATTGTAATCAAATATTTATGCTTTGTTTTATCATAAAAATGCTAAACATTTGAATGTTAAATATGTTTGCGATGTTAACGATTGTAACAAATCGTTTAATTCAACATTAAATGTGTTTATGAAAGTTGTAATAAATATTTTACACACCAATTATATTTAAAAAGACATGAAAAACTTGTTCATTTAAATTTTAAATAATTTAAATGTAATCAATTGTAACAAACAATATGCTTTAAAATCTAATTTATTACAACATCGACGAACACACTCAGAGATTAAATCATATATATGTGATGTCAATAATTGTAACAAAATTTTGAGTACTAAAGAATCGTTAAATTATCATAAATATTTTGTTCATCAAATAATTAATTATATATATATTGCTAAACTAATAAAATAATAAATATATATTTAATCAATTATATATACTTAATATCTCTCTCTCTCTCTCTCTCTCTCTCTCTCTCTCTCTTTATCTCTATATTTATTTTTTTTAATTTATAATAATTGTTAATTTAATTAAAATAAAGTTTCTATGTGATTATGTCTATAATATTAATAATTTAAAAAAAAATAAAAACAATAATAATTTTCATAAGACACTGACTGTACATCACATGACTGTGTATTGGACTAAACCATAGACTTAAAGTATACACAAATTATTGACAATAACTCTCTTTCTTTCATTGATTGATTCACTTTCTTAATTGAAAATAAAACCTGTTTTTATTATTTAGTTATTTATATATTTAGATATCCATTGCTATTGAAAAACACAATATAAGCGCCAAAACTATTGCAAATCATATTTAATTATACACAAAAATTTTGTTCATTTAGGTATAAAGTCATTCAAATGTAATTACGATAATTGTAACAAACACTATGCTTTAAAATCTAATTTATTACGACATCAACGAACACATTCAAAGATTAAATCATATAAATGTGATGACAATAATTGCAACAAAATTTTGAGTTCAAAAGAATCATTAAATCACTAATTAATTAATAAATTTATTTTTATATTATTATTATTATTGAAAAAACTATAGTTTAGTAAAATTGTATATTACTATATAAAGTATTTTATATATGATATTTTTTGTGTACAATATCTAAACAATTTGTCTAAATTATTATTAAATTAATAGTTAAAAATATTAATCAATTATATATTAATTTTAGATTTATTAATAATTGATAAATTAATTAAAATATAGTTTCTATCTATCTATCTGTGATTTTTTTTGTTTATTAAATTAATATACTTTTTTTAATAAACACAACAATAATTTTCATAATACACTGACTGTACATCACATGACTATTGGACTAACCCATTGACTTAAAGTGTATACTAATTATTGACAATAACTCTCTTTTAATTCATTGATTCACTTTCTTAACTGAAAATAAAACCGGTTTTTAGTATTCAGTTATACATTGCTATTGAAAAACACAATATAAGCGCCAAAACTATTGCTTTGTTTGTTAAGACTTTGTATTTAGTAGTTATTGTTGTTATTATTGTGTGTTTTTAAAAAATAATTTTTAATATTAATTATTAATATGGAGTTAATTAATAATAAAATCTTTAAAATTAAATATATGTTGAATAGATTAAGTGAATTGAAATCATTACACAATAGTATTATTGATAAACAAACAAATAGTTTATCAAAAAATAGTGTTGTTTTATGTGAAACAATTGATTGCATGAATAAAATGAATATCACAGAAAATAATTACATTTCTATGAAAATCATTGATTATAGTGACTGTTATGACAATTACAATACACGTATGGACAACAATAGTGGACAAAATTTTGATTATCATAAAACAATTCATACATTACATAAGCCATATAAATGCAATATTAACGATTGTAATCAAACATTTTCAATATCATCAAAATTAAGTTGCCATAAAAATTTAGTACATTTTAAAGATAATAATAAATATATTTGTAATGTCAACGATTGCGGCAAAAGTTTTACTACAAAATATAATCTAAAAATCCATAAATTGAGTGTTCATTCTAATAAACGATTTAAATGTAATTATATTGATTGTAACAAAACATTTACTCAAAAATATCATATTAGAAATCATGTAAAAGTAGTGCATTTAAAAGTAAAACCATTCAAATGTGATGTCGACTATTGCGGCAAAATTTTTTCAAACATTACTGATTATAATAAACATAAATTAATTCATTTACGACAAACAAAATTTCATTGTTCAGTAAACCAATGTTTGAAAACATTTACAACAAATCATTGTTTACTAAAACACAAATCCAGAGATCATTCAATTGAATCACAATTCAAATGCAATTATAAAAACTGTAATAAAATCTATTTGTCATCAAATGGTTTGTATCAACACAAACGTATTGTACATTTGGGTTTAAAATTATTCAAATGTGATGTCGATAACTGTGGCAAACAATTTAATTATAAATGTAATTTTTTGCGACATAAACGAAAACATTTCGAGATTAAATAAATTTGATGTAATTATTTTTTTTTTAATTTTCATAAAATATATTGTATTTTATTTTAGATATAAATCAATTTGTTAATTAAAACAAATATTACTAGTTAAAATTAATTAGACGATATTAATTATATTATAATTTAAATATTTTATTAATCTTATTAACATTTAATTTAATAAATAATGTTTTTTGTTTTTAAAACTAATGTTAAAAATATCTATTATTTAATATAAATTTTAAATATAATAATTAAATTAAAATTAATTAAAATAATTTTTAATGTTATCAATTGTTCTTTTATACAATACTTAATTTCTACTATAAATTAATTTTAAATAATTAATTAATTAACCAGTTGAGAATGCTGAAAGCATTTCCATACGAACTCCTTATCCAATGTATAAAATTAAATTAAAATGATTCCGTATGAGGAAAACTACATTAGTCCTTTTTCTTTGTTTAATTTATTTATTATTAGTATTAAAAGTTTTCAGGAGTTTTTGCATTATTAATATCTACATAACATGTATTGCAAAACTGAATGTTTTTATTGTCTATATTCATCACTGTTTTCACAAAATTTTCAAAATCACTTTTCGTTTTATTTTTGAATTTCTCTTTAATTTGAAGAGATTGAAAATTAATATTTCGCATTTGAGATTCAAACCATAAACAACCACAGCATAAGCAAACTTCAGTTGGACCACATAATTTAAGTTTATTAAATTTGTCCACGTTTTTATTTAATAAATTTTTTAATATTTCACGAGATTGAGTTTTTTGTTGTTTCTCATATTCTCGTAAACGTTCAATAAACTCGTTGTCTTTTCTTTTGTCAGCTTTTCTTTGTCTATCATTTTCTCTTTCTTGTCGGATAAACTCGTCATCTTTCCGTTTATCTGCTTTTTGTTGTTTTTCGTATTCTCTTATACTTTCAATAAACTCGTCGTCTTTTCTTTTGTCAGCTTTTCTTTGTCTATCATTTTCTCTTTCTTGTCGGATAAACTCGTCATCTTTACGTTTATCTGCTTTTTGTTGTTTTTCGTATTCTCTTATACTTTCAATGGACTCGTCTTTTTTTCTTTTGTCAGCTTTTCTTTGTCTATCATATTGTCTTTCTCGTTCAATAGACTCATCATCTTTTCTCTTTTCAGCTTTTCGTTTGCGATCTTTTTCTCTTATTTTATCTATATTACCAATTTGTCGGTTTAAGGCTTTTCGATGACCATCATTTTCTCTTTTTAATCTTTTTGAGTCATCCATTATTAGTGTGTAATAATATTTGTTAACACTTAATAATTCAAAATTAAATACACATACAAATTACATAACTTAACTTATTATATTTAACTAAATATTTAAAATTTTATTCTTATTAAAATAAAATCTTAGTTTTGCACTTTTAAAATTTTTTTTATTACACAAAACAAATTAATATAATTTTTTTATTAATATTACATTATTGTAATTTCTGTTCACTAATGTTCACATTTCATTAAAATGAAATTAACTGAAATTTTCTTAAAATTACAACTCTATTTATACTATTTTTAAAATTTTATTAGCCAATAAGATTCATTTTAAAATTTTAATAATGACTGTTTTTTCTTAATTATGACCATCTTTTTTGTTCTTTTTCATAATTTCTGAATATTTATTGCTGTATGTATTACTCATATATTATTGTTCTTTTCTATAACCTCTGAATATTTAATGCTGTATGTATTACTCATATATTTTTGTTCTTTTCTATAACCTCTGAGTATTTAGTGCTGTATGTATTACTCATATATTATTGTTCTTTTCTTTAACCTCTGAATATTTAGTGCTGTATGTATTACTCATATATTATTGTTCTTTTCTTTAACCTCTGAATATTTAGTGCTGTATGTATTACTCATATATTATTGTTCTTTTCTATAACCTCTGAATATTTAGTGCTGTATGTATTACTCATATATTATTGTTCTTTTCTATAACCTCTGAATATTTAATGCTGTATGCAGTCATGAGGAGCAATTGAACATAATCCAATCATAGAGTTGAATTTTTTATTTTAATAAATAAATATTGTTATGGTAATAAAAAATTATATACTAAATGTTACTATTTGGAATAAATTTTTTTATTAAATCAATGTCACTGTCAAGTTATGTCTCAACAATATTTTTTTTAAATAAAAATTCACAAATTCACCTTTACATATTTAGCACTAATATGATCTGTAGCGTGTCAATTGCTCCTCATGACTGGCTGTATGTATTACTTATATATTTTTGTTCTTTTCTATAATCTCTGAATATTTAGTACTGTTTGTATTACTCATATATTTTTTGACTTTTCTAAACTTTTTTTATAATCTCAATATATTTTTTTGATTACTTATATTTTATGGATTTTCTAAAACCTCTGATTATATATCAAAATTTTAATACTGATATTCTTTACCTATTTTTATGCTCTATTCAAATTTATACTTTCAAATTTAATTTTTTTTTTGTACTTTTGCGGCCATGTTCCCGAAGAGATATCAAAATTTTAAACCATATTTTTTATGCTTGTTTTTGATGCTTTATTCAAATCTATACTCAAAAATTTTTACCTAAATTTTTCACTTTGGCCGCCATTTTCTCTATGTTCCCAATGAGATATCAAAATTTTAATGCTGATCCCCTATACCTTATTTTTGATGCTTAATTCAAATCTGAAGTCAAAATTTAAAAATTCAATAAAAAGCGGACGGACGGAAGGACGGAAGGACGGAAGGACATATAGAATACAGATACGTACTCCTTTCAGGAGTTCGTGAAAAGTTATTTATTTTATAGTAAAGTATATATATATATATATATATATAGACGTAATGTATGTTTGAATGCTATTCAATGATTTCAATTAACAAACAAACAGTGATGTCATCGATATGTTTGTTAAATACAAACAAAACATGTGTTTTTTAAATACACGTGTATTATAAACACAATAATATTGTTATCTATAAATGTATTACAGTATATAAGTAATGTATATATATTTATTATTATCTAATTGAATAGTAAATTATCTATAATAAGTGCTATTAATTAATTAATTAATTAATTTTTATTTAAATAATAAATTATTATACAAATAAAACATTTGTTTGACTTTTGTATTTATTATCATTGTTTGTTGATTTAATATTTTTTTTCAGTAATATTTTTAATTATTATAATATGGAGTTAATACCTGTAAATGATAAAATTGTTAATATGAAGTATATTTTGAATAAATTATGTGAATTAAAATCAATACACAATAGTATTGATATTAAAATAAATATTTTGAATCAAAATACTGTTGTTTTGTGTGAACCATCTATTGATGGCTTGAATGCAATGAATATCCAAACAACAAATGATTGCATTTCTATGAAAATCACTGATTATAGTGACTGTTATGACAATAACAACAAAACACGTGTGGATAACAACAATAACACGCGATTCAAGTGTTTTTGGCCTAAATGTCGATTTAAAACTAATAATAAAAAACATTTAACTATTCATCAATCGATACATTTATCTAAAAAACAATTCAAATGTAATTATTGTAATAAAATATATAAATTTAAGATATCGTTATGTAATCATAAATCTGCTGAACATTTAAATCTGAAATATGTTTGCGATGTCAACAATTGCGGCAAAAGTTTTATTACAAAATCAGTTTTAAATCAACACAAATCTAGTTGTCATTTAAATAAAAAGTTTAAATGTAATTATGAAAATTGTAATAAAAAATTTACACAAATTGCTAATTTAAAAAGACACCGATTAGCCATTCATTTGAAACAAAAACAATTTCGATGTGATGTCGAGTACTGCGATAAAATGTTTTTACTAATTGAAAATTATAATAATCACAAATTAATACATTTATCTAAACCGCGATTTATTTGTTCAGTAAATAACAATTGTTTGAAAACATTTACAACTATTCATTGTTTACGACAACACTTATCCAGAGATCATTCAATTGAACCCGAGTTTCGATGCGATTATAAAAATTGTAATAAAAGATATTCAACTTTATTTTGTTTGAATAGACACAAACGTATTATACATTTAATGGTTTAAATGTAATGTTGAACGACAACTGTGGCAAACAATTTGTTTTTTAAATATAATTTGAGTTTTTTTTTGATGACATCGACAAACACGTTCAGGCAATAAATAATTTCTAATAAATTTGATGTCAATAATTGAAACAATATTTTTTTGTTGAAACAACAATCTATAAAATTTATATTTAATATCTACTAAACTAGTAATTAGTAAATAAATAAAAAAAAAGTTTAATATTAAAATTAATTTTAAATTTTATCCTCTTTTTTAATGTAATAATATTAATAATCAGTAAATATTAAAATTATAACAATATTATTACTGTTATTTAAGTGTTATTTATTGATATAATAATAATTTTATTAATAAATAATTTTCACAAATTATTATAAAATTAGTTATTTTTTAATTAATTTTTAGTTTACTTTATATTTTCTATAAACATTTGCTATTATTTTTTTTATTATAAAAATTATTTAATTACTGATATACATTAATGTTAAATACTAAATATATTTGCTGTATATATATATTTATAATTTACGTAATGTATGACTGAATGCTTTTAAATGATTACAATAATTATTCAAACAGTGATGTCATCAATATGTCTGTTATAATCAGGGTTTAAAAATTGCCAGACATAAACAATAGATGCCAATTTTACCAAATGTCTGCCCTGCCTTTGCCATGCCCTGGGCATCTATTTTCAAGTGGTGACACCTATTATTTTAATTTTATATTTTAATTTAATTTATAAAACATTGCTTTATGGATATATTTGTTTGTATTTTTGTTTTGCATACCTTTAATTAAATGGTAATATCATTGGAAATAAGTTTATTAATTGTAAATTTAATTAGCATGCTAAATAATACAAAATAATATTATTTTTATAAATACAGTTGCATTTTATCAATTTAAATTGGCAGACAAATAAAATTGCCAGTCATTTATGGTATCTATTTGGGCATTGCCACGGAAGGCATTTATTTACTAAAAACCTTGGTTATAATACAACAAAACAACAACACGTGTATTACAAAAACGATATAATAATAATATAATCTAAATGTGTTTTTTATAAAGTATTAATTAATGAATAGTAAATTTTTAATAAATAAATAATTAATAATACAAACGAAATTATAATGATTTGTTTGACTCCTTATTTATAATTATTATTATTGTTATCATAATTGTGTGTTGAGTTAATTAATTAATTTTTATATATAAATTTAATATGAATTTAATTATTGATAATATTGTTAATATATTAAGTATATGTTAAATAAATTATCAAAAATCAAATCATTAAACAATAGTATTGATAAACAAATTAATAGTTTGTCACAAAATATTAGTGTTGTTTTATGTGAAGCCAATACTAATTGCTTGAATACAATGAATATTACGACAAATGATTGCATTTCTGTGAAAATCACTGATTATAGTGACTGTTATGACAACAACAACACGCGATTCACGTGCTTTTGGCCCAAATGTCGGTTTAAGACACGTAATAAAAAATATTTAATAACACATCAATTAATTCATTCATCTAAAAACAGTTAAAATATAATTATTGTACAAAAATATACAAATATCCTACGGCTTTATATTATCATAAAAATGCTAAACATTTAAATACTAAATACAATATATTTGTGATTTCAATGATTGCAACAAATATTTTACTTCAAAATCACATTTAAATCGACACAAGTCTAGCATTCATTTAAATAAAAAGTTTAAATATAATTATAAAAATTGTAATAAAAAAATGTTGACAATTGTTTAATTTAAAAAGACATCAATTAGCCATTCTTTTAAAAGAAAAACAATTTCGATGTGATGTCGAGTATTGCGATAAAATGTTTTCACTAATTGAAAATTATAATAAACACAAATTACTACATTTAAGTGAAAAATAATTTCAACGTTTAGTAAATAACAAGTGTTTGAAAACATTTACATTAAATCAATAGATCATTCAATTGAACCGGAATTTCAATGCAATTATAATAATTGTAATAAATATTTTGTTAGTAAATCATATTTAATTAAACACAAAAATTTTCTACATCTAGGTATTAAGTCATTCAAATGAAATTACGACAATTGTAATAAACAATTTGCTTCAAAATCTAATTTATT